TAATACACAGCCACACACGTGGACTCACACACCTCACCCTCCGACACACACCGACACACACACACAGACACACCCACATATGACATGCAACTAAAACCTGGCAAAGCACGTCTACAGCGTCCTAGAGGTCAAGATGAAAGGCATTTTAACAAATTTTCCGCTCGGTTCGCTAGCTCAGTCAGTTAAACATGACTGCGCGGTGACCAGGTGACAAACTCCTTGAGGGCCAGGCTCACGGCAGGGGTAAGGCAGAAAAGTCACATTTCTCCCAGATTTGCAGTATTTATTAGGGAATCAAGGCCGAAGGGTTGCGATATCCATAGTACAGAGCCTAACTGTCAACAGTTCATGGTTTCTGGATATTTAAAAAAAAAAAGCTTCGCCTGTTTGTTTCTCGGGCTCAGTTTTGGAGAAGACAGAACAGACTCACTTCCACCTCCCAAGCATGTGGTAAGAGGCATCTATTTTGGAGTTGTTCCTTTCAAGTCGGTGTGCATCTGCCTGAGATACATACTGTATACAAATAAGCCTGATCGGTAAAACCAATTTGCACGCGAAAACTTAAGTTTTGAATCGAGACCGAAGTCCAGGAGTGGACGAACAACCAGAACTTTCTGCCAGAGTTTACAGCCGGTAAACGCTAAGAAAGAGAATTCTTAAAAGCTATATAAATCCTATATTGATCTATGGATGGGAATCATGGACAGTTGGTAAATTATTGAAAACTCATTTGGAAGCTGCGGAAATGTGGTTTTATAGACAAATGATGAGAATACCCTGGACAGACAAAAAGAGCAATCAAGACGTCTTGAAAAAAAAAAACTGACTCACTAAGAAAACTGACTGCCCATATCAGAAAGAGACAATCGACATTCTTTGTGATGAGGAGGCGAAAAATGGAGTGCATCGTGACCGTAGGAAAGTTAGAGTGGAGGAGAGGCAGAGGGAGACCGAGAGAACAGATGCTGGGCGGTCTGACATCATGGCATGGAGGATCATCTGTGCAAGAGTTTGGGAAAAGTACGCGAGACAGAAGGTTGTGGACAGGCATGACTACCAACGCCACACGACATGGACAAGAAGAAGAAGAAGAACACTTGGAAGAAGAGGACTGTAACAAACCTCCCGTGGAAACATCCAGTAGGGCTACTTTGGGCTGCTGAATCGCTGGACTGCGCCCGCATACAAACATCCAATATGCAGCGACGTCAATCTCAGTAACAGTGAACACTCAATCTCCCACATATAGACCCCTGCATTTACACACTCCAACATACCTATACATACAGAAACAACCATTGGTATGCAAACACCTAGACATACACATAGGCTTAAACCTATACAAGAACCTATACAAGCACAAACACTCATGAATACATAATAGCCATACATACACACTAACACAACTACCCCCACATTCATAACACACATACATACACATCCACACACAGACAGCTATATATCCACTCAATCATACACATTCCCCAGGTCGACCCAGCCTTGAGTGGGTACAGGGTGTAGTCCCGGGAAGTAGAGGCGGCCGGCGTGATGCTGACCACATCACTCATCTTGTGCCGATTGGTCTATAAAAATCTAGGTCTAGCCCTTTACGCCTAAAAGGGTGGGAAAAGGTCCCTTACTTTACTTTTTACATACACATTTATGTACAAACACATACACACACATAAACTTATACAGAACACCTAAGCACAATCATACATACATATCATACACAATCATTCGTACTTATCACACACATCCTTTTTAATAATAGAGTAGGTCAGAGACAGGAGCAGAAAGAGATACAGAGAAAGAAAGTGAAGCAGAGAGAGGTAGAGGGATAGATACAGACAGAGGCGGAGAGAGATAGAGAGGCAGAGATATAGATAAATGTAGAAAGACATATATTGCGGAGGGGGTCAGCTCGCGGTTAAGAACGGAAGGCTCTCATGCGTGGTCACAGGTTTGAATCCTCGGTATGTTGTGGATTTTTATTGTTGTTGTTGTCAGGAGCAACAATAAAATCCTAAGCTGTAAAGACCGAGGCGACAGCACCAACCATGCCACCGTAAATCCTCAGGCTGAACACTGACTCCCATCCCTTCCCCACTCCCTACTCCTCCCCCACTCCTCCCCCACTCCCTCCTCCTCCCCCACCCCCTTTTTTTAAACAAAACTGGTAGATGCATTTAGTAATTGGTAGTATGGCGGAGAGACAGGCAGAGAGACACAGCCAGAGACAGACAGAGAGACACAGCCAGAGACAGGCAGAGAGACACAGCCAGAGACAGAGACAGCGAGAGAGAAAGAGAGATACAGAGGCAGAGGCAGAGGGAGAGAGAGAAAAGAGAGGGACAGAAAGATACAGATAAACAGACACAGGAAGATAGAAAGAGAGAAAGGAGAGAGAGAGAAAGGTGTATATATCATGAGACAATATTACTACTTATGCATCACTTGTGACAGGTCGGGGCCAGGGGAGACAATTTGAGAACCCTTGCTGTTGTAACAGTTGTGATGCGAGTAAATGTTTACTAACACGTGTCGAGTGTACCACCACGGCAAAGTCTGCGTGAGCACTCAAGGTGACGAGCGGCACTCATGCTTCAATACACAAAAAGTCCTCGAAACGGCAGACGTGACTTTTTTGTGCAGCCAGCTTCACTGCGCACTGTCTAAGTTCTATGGTTCGGCCACCCGGGGCGCGCTGAAGTCGATGCAATACACGATATGTCTGCTTCCAAGCTGTTGATGTAAGCGAGAGATATATACAGAGAGAGGCAGAAACGAATCAAGAGAGAGAGAGAGAGAGAGGGGGGGGGCAGAAACGAATCGAGAGAGAGAGAGAGACGGAAACGAATCGAGAGAGAGAGAGAGAGAGACGGAAACGAATCGAGAGAGAGAGAGAGGCAGAAACGAATCAAGAGAGAGAGAGAGAGACGGACACGATTCGAGAGAGAGAGAGACGGACACGAATCGAGAGAGAGAGAGAGACGGACACGAATCGAGAGAGAGAGAGACGGAAACGAATCGAGAGAGAGAGAGAGACGGAAACGAATCGAGAGAGAGAAAGAGACGGAAACGAATCGAGAGAGAGAGAGAGAGGCAGAAACGAATCGAGAGAGAGAGAGAGAGGCGGAAACGAATCGAGAGAGAGAGAGAGACGGACACGAATCGAGAGAGAGAGTGGCGGAAACGAATCGAGAGAGAGAGGTGGAAACGAATCGAGAGACAGACAGACAGACAGACAGACAGACAGACAGACAGACAGACAGACAGAGAGAGGCAGGGCGGGAGAGAGAGAGAGAGAGAGAGAGAGAGAGAGAGAGAGAGAGAGAGAGAGGCAAAAAAGTTTTTTTTTGTGCACCGAGCTTCAACGGGCACTAAGTTCTATGGGGCGCGCTAAAGTCGATGCAATGCACGATTTTTGTCCGTTGCCAAACTCGGAGGCAAGCATGTTGATTGTGTGTGCGTGCAAGCCTGTGTATATGTGTACGCGTGCGTATGTGTATGTGCGTGTTTGTGTTTATGTGTATGTCAGCGCTGGATTTAGACACAGGCTACATAAGCTGCGGGAAACAGGGTGGCGTAGCGGCTAGAAGTTCGGAAGGTCCTGGGTTCAGGTCATGATGGAGCCGGGCAAGACTTCTTTCAAAAATGACCCTCGGCTGCCAGGTCGACCTGGCCTTAAATAGGCACTAGGTGAAGTCTTAGGAAGTAAAGGCGGCCGGCGTGATGTTGACCACATGTTGACCTATAAAATATAGCTCTAGCCCTACATGCCCAGTATGCCTGAAGACGGGGAAAGGGGTTCTTTAAATATGCTACATTGTAGGGCCTCATGATATACAGAGGCTTCAACAAACTCCTGTTTTTTAAACAAATGCAGTTTTTTTTTAAATAAAATTTTAAATGCTATTGTCTTGTACAGTAATTGAATTTTTTTTAGCGGATTATTTATTATAATTGTTGAGAATTTGGCAAATACCTTCTTTGTTATTTCTTCTACTAAAAAATAAAAACAATATATTTCCATTATCCATATATTTAAAAAGCGTATATATTTAAAAGATTTCTGAGATTGGCTGGTGGGATTTAAAACAGCAGGGGCCTCAGGGCAATATATAGTTCAGGACCTGACCGTGTCTAAATCCGGCTCTGGGGTGTATGTAAAGGAAATAAGGTTGGGGAAAAAAGGTGGGGGGGGGGATGGTTAGAAAAAGAGGGAATGCTTTCTGCATAAAGCTATTATGGTACTTTTTTTTCGTTTGAAAGGGGGAGGGGATGGGTGGGGGGGGGGGGGACTGTTGAGTTGTCCTTGTTGTTAAGGAACAGTTAAACACAACAAAAATTAATGTTAGGAAGCTGGGGGTCAATACACAAAGCAAACACGTATTCAGGGGTGTCGGTTTCCTGATCATTTTCAATGGGCGGATCACTCAAACCTTTGTTAAAGTGGATAGGAACAATTATTATTTGTTTAGGTTGCTGAGTCCCCGGGTACCGTCGTGTGTACTTGGCAGTTCCACGAGGGGGAAAGGAAGGGGAGGGGGGGGGTGCGGAAAGACGCGCACAGATAAAACTGGGTTTGCACCCCAAATCTGTCTTTCTGTGGGTCCCGTTGCCTCATGATGAGGAAGCGGGAGGAAGAACAGATCCACTAGCTTTTTAACACGCATAAAGTTAACGACGATTAATTTTGGGTTTTTCCTTCGAAGTCGGGGTGCATCTGCCTGAGAGGCGACAAGCCAATAATTTGCGTAAAAAAAAAAAAAAGCCAGATCTATAAAACGGATATACATACAAAACTCCAGTTCAGAAACAAGACGAAAGTCCATACTTCTTTTAGCAGTTTTAGTTTTTATCTACAGTTATCTTGTTTCACGAGAAGAAACACCGTAACCTATGGCATCACATGTACCAAAAAGATCGCTCGACGTTGCTGTTATTTTAATAATATTATTTTAGAGTATTTTGGTTTTAATTCTCACAGACTGACCATGTCCCGTGACTTCGAAGGCAAAGTGGTGATTGTGACTGGGGCCAGCTCTGGAATTGGGGCGGCCACAGCAAAAATGTTTGCCCAGCGAGGGGCTAAGGTGACGCTTTGTGGACGGGACGTGGGCAGACTGAACGAGGCCGTGGAGGAGTGTTCCAAGGTTGGGGGCGGTGATGCCAGTCGGTGAGTGGTTGAAATCTGTCTTTACCTAGCGAGGAGTACACGACAGAGGGTCGTGGGGGATATCATAGACGATTTTATTGCATAGATAATATCTGCATTTTGTCTATGAGGACAGACAGACAGATGGATAGACAGACAGACAGACAGACAGACAGACAGAGAGACAGACAGACAGACAGACAGACAGACAGACAGACAGACAGACAGACAGACAGACAGACAGACAGACAGACAGACAGATAGACAGATAGATAGATAGATAGATAGATAGATAGATAGATAGATAGATAGATAGATAGATAGATAGATAGAGATAGATAGATAGATAGATAGATAGATAGATAGATAGATAGATAGATAGATAGATAGATAGATAGATAGATAGATAGATAGATAGATAGATAGATAGATAGATAGATAGATAGATAGATAGATAGATAGATAGATAGATAGATAGATAGATAGATAGATAGATAGATAGATAGATAGATAGATAGATAGATAGATAGATAGATAGATAGATAGATAGATAGATAGATAGATAGATAGATAGATAGATAGATAGATAGATAGATAGATAGATAGATAGATAGATAGATAGATAGATAGATAGATAGATAGATAGATAGATACTAAACAACCTGAACAAACACTGGCATATTTGATTGGATAAAAATGCCAGGGGAGGTAATTGATAAATCTCTTGCCTGATTTGACGACAGAGTTACAGGTATTGAATATCGTAAGTATGATCAGCCGGGCCTATAGTTTTGTAACCTTGCCCACCAAAGAGCCGGAGTCGCTGTGCATCAAATCTATTTGTATTTATCCGTTTACGTTAAGTGCTAACTTTTTTTTACATTGTAGAGAGAGACAACTTTAAAGCAGAGTAGCAGAACATATACCCACATAGCTTATTGCAAGGCTGAGTGAACCCACAAGGGTTTCAGAAGCGATACCAAGGAACGAACCAAACTCTTCTATAGGATGTCATCTGCTTGAATCAGGACATGTAACTGACAAGGACAGTTGCTTTCGGTGTGATTTATCACACACCTGACAGGCAAATTCTGAGTCTGTGGTCGAAGCATTATTTATAAAAAAAATGTGCAATCCTTTCTTATGGAGGCAGAAATAGATAATTGTCGACTTGAAGTTACTTTGGTAAGTTACGGGACTGTCGTGAACTTCCGGTGATTTGACAATTGATGGCAAGAGACAATTTTGTATTTCTATTGAGCTTAATCATTTTAATGCTTCATTGTGTGCTGAGATAAATGCAATAACGAAACTGGCGAGATGCAGTAAAATATGCCTGGCACTAAATTATTTAAATCTGCGCTATTTAAATGATCTAAGCCCGCATACACAATTTCTTACTGAGTTTTCATCTTTTACAATGAACTGGGCTCCCATACATGATTTCCAGCTCAGTTTCAAGCTTTAACAACGAACTAAGCCCCCATACACAGATTCCAACTCAGTTTCAAGCTTTAACAACGAACTAAGCCCCATACACAATTTCCAACTCAGTTTCAAGCTTTAACAACGAACTAAGCCCCCATACACAATTTCCAACTCAGTTTCAAGCTTTAACAACGAACTAAGTCCCCATACGCAATTTCCAACTCAGTTTCAAGCTTTAACAACGAACTAAGCCCCCATACACAATTTCTATCTCAGTTTCAAACTTTGACAACGAACTTAGTCCACATACACAATTTCCAACTCAGTTTCAAGCTTTGACAACGAAATTAGTCCACATACACAATTTCCAACTCAGTTTCAAGCTTTAACAACGAACTAAGCCCCCATACACAATTTCCAACTCAGTTTCAAGCTTTAACAACGAACTAAGCCCCCATACACAATTTCCAACTCAGTTTCAAGCTTTAACAACGAAGTTAGTCCACATACACAATTTCCAACTCAGTTTCAAGCTTTAACAACGAACTAAGCCCCCCATACACAATTTCCAACTCAGTTTCAAGCTTTGACAACGAACTATACACAATTTCCAAATCAGTTTGCATCTTTTACAACGAACTAAGCCCCATATATATTTTTCAACTGTGTTTCCAACTTTTGAAACAAACTAAGCCCCATACACAATTTCCAACTCAATTTCCATCTTTTACAACGACCGAAGCTCCCAATAGTTGCTGTACCCATGGAATTTAGTATAAAAATGTAATTAACAATTAACGTACAAAAACGTTTCATTACTTTACTTGTTATTAAACACACAGGTACCTGACTGTAACCGGAGACGTCACTAGACCAGAAACAAGACAACAGATCGTCAAACAGACAGTAGACAAATTTGGGCGCCTCGACGTTCTGGTCGCAAACGCCGGAATCGTTGAGACCAGAGCCATTATGGATGAAACAGAAGAAACCTTTGACAACACAATCAACACCAACGTCAAAGCCACGTTTTTTATTATCAAGAACGCCATCCCTGAACTGATCCAGTCCAAAGGCAGCATAGTTATCGTGTCTTCTATCGTCAGTACACTGGCTGTTCCGTCTGAGATTGTCTACTGTATGACTAAGGCCGCGCTTGACCATATGACCAGAAACCTAGCACTGGATCTAGCTTCTAAAGGTGGGTATGGTACCAATATAAAGGTGTCCTTTTAATAAGGGCAATGGTTCCCCAGGGCTTGGCAAAATAAATGTAAGGGAGTTCGTGATATGATTTTTTTTTTTAAATAAGAAGATCACCAATTTATTTTTCCGATTCTTATATAGATCTTCATTTTATAGCTTTTGGCTGGTACAAATTTTGGGTTGAATTATCTTGAAATATGCCTTAAAGTATGGAGTTCTGAGAGACCTTTTTGAAAATGAGAGGGGGGTCTGCGGATCATATCTAACTGAGAACCACTGGCAGAGAGAAGGGGGTGAGTACACGAGTAAATGGGGACCTACGTTAGAAAAAGAAAGGAAAACATCATTACCTTTCTTTTGTTTTTGCTCTGAAGGTGAGCTATGTACCACATCCCACAACCCCACACACACATACATAATCACACACATACGCACAGACACACACACACGCACACACACATGTCAACCGCGGTGAGGAGAAGAATATCAAGAGTGCTATGCAGAAAACAGCCAGTATGTGCTCTTATATCCATCTGAGACATGCACAAGCTGAACAATTGCTGTTGGTAACGGAGGTGTGGTTGTTACAAAAGGATGCAAAGACAATCATGAAAAAACCAAGTATGCATGCTTCTTTGTAAACAAAACAAACAAAAAAAAACCTGCTAGTATTTCTGGTAGTAAACTTGTTAGAGGAGAGAGACGTAATCAGTCGACATTTGCGGACATGTAACAGGGCTAGCTACCAGATGCTGTGAGAACTGTTAGCTGCAATTCCAAACAGTCATTAGGATTTCTTTATATAGGTCGCTGTGGCTTGGTTTTCGCTCCGTTTTGGTGGAAAGAAATACAGCGACCTTGTGAGCACTGTCCGTCCGTCCATCCATCTATCTATCTATCTCATTCTCTCTCTCGCAAACTTTCTCCATTTTTCTTAACCCATTTCTCTCTCTGACTCTTTGAAATGACATTTAAAAAATAAAGTTCGCCCCTAATCACTCTTCTCTTTCTTCTTTTTCCCTTTCTCAGCCCCCCCCCCTTTTTCCATAATCTGTTTATGTCTGCGTGTCTGATGGTTAACATCCGATCATCTTATATATATGGGTACATTCTATTTTGGAGCTGCCATGGTGCAGCGGCTAGACACTGGCTTGCGGATCCGAAAGTGGGGGGTTCCCATCTAAATAAAGACAGACATTTAAAAAAAACGAACTTAGCTCCCAGGTCGACACAGTCTTGAACGAGTACCAGGTAAAATCATGGGAAGTATAGGTGACCGGCGTTATGTTGACCACAACACCACCGAGTATCGAGAGGTCTGTAAAATATAGGTATAGCACTATATGCCCAAAAGGCCCGAAAGGGATCCCTTTCTTTTACTTTATATTTGTACTGTGACTGAAGTTGCCGAATAAACACTTATAGTTTGTCTTTTCCTCAGGTGTCCGGGTGAACGCCGTCAACCCCACCCTGGTATGGACTAGAATCTACCGAGACTCAGATCACGGCCCTGAATTCGATAAATTTCTACAATTGTGTGCAGCTGCCCATCCCTTGTATGGACGGGCCAGCACCGCCGAAGAACAAGCAGAAGTGATCGTCTTCCTGGCCAGTGACGCTGCCCGTTTTGTGACTGGGCAGTGTATCAAAGTTGACGGGGCCGTGACCTTGACGGGCGTACCCCCTGTGTGA